TATATGTCATTCCCATTCTTTGGACTTAGGAGTCAGAGCTTTTCTCTCTCTCATCTTCCCTCTCCTCTCTGCCTGCTTCCTATCAGAATGCTGGGAGAATATGATGAGAAAGTTATTTAACTGTTGCGTCCAAATTCTACCCCTGATTTCAAAATAACATATTTCCTGATATGATTTTTGGAACACAGCTATGATTGTCCTAAATCCAAAGGAATTATATTTTTCTATACTTTCTAGAATATCAATCACATTTCTATATTTTTGCAGGGAAGTATTTATAGAAAGGAACCAAGCTAAATGCTTTAAAATATTTCAATTGCACAGTTTGACACTTTTATAGTTTACTTCATGGAATTACAAATATATAATTCTAATAATAATAATAATAATAATAATAATAATAATAATAATAATATTTTTAAAACCATGGCTTGAATCCAAAGATGTATTCTAAGTGTAGAGGGATACCTTTGGATCCAAACCTACATATTTCTATAAGTTTTAAAAAGTAGGAAGGTGGTGTTTCCCCCCAAAAAGATTTATTGTTTTCCTCCCACTGTTAAACATATACTTAAAATTAAAAAATTACTGGTAAACAAATGCCATGACTAACAATCCAAAATGAAGATTTCTTACTAGAATTCATCTCAGGCTGTTTAAAGCTGTCACTCAATCTTTAAATAAAATAAAAAATCTGGATTGGCAAATGAGATGAGCAGACTTGTGTATCTGCTGTGCCCCTGCTCTAGTGGTACAGGGTCTGCGATTTCCAAACCATCCCAGACTTGGGAGGGAGAAACGCCAGGAAAATGTGTCAGGATGGGTAAGTAATAATAATCACCATAATTTTATTATTTGTACTCTGCCCATCTGACTAGGTTGCCCCAGCCACTCTGGGCGACTTCCAACATATGTAAAAACATAATAAAACATTGAACATTAAAAAGTTCCCTATACAAAGCTGACTTCAGATGCCTTCTAAAAGCTGTATAGTTCTTTATCTCCTTGTCATCTGATGGGAGGGCGTTCCACATGGAGGGAGCCATCACTGAGAAGGCCCTCTGCCTGGTTCCCTGGTTCACTTCTCACAGTGAGAGAAGCTCCAGAAGGTCCTTCGAGCTGGACCAGAACGATGGGGGTGGAGACGCTATTTCAGGTAGAAGTCCCACTAGAGTCAATGGTGGTGGTGCAGTACTTGTGCCAGCTCCTGTCTTGGTGTATATTTCTGTTGTTTGCAGGCATGTTTGCGCAACAAGAGGGGGTTAGGAACCAGCATAGGTGTGTTTCTCCCCTGTAGACTCTGCCTACGAATCCAACCCATTTTTAGGTGGAGCATGACCAGCAGAGAGGCTTAGCTGGTTGAGCCATCCTGCAGTGCTCACAGACATTTTCTTGGGTATGTTGCTGGTGGCTCTTCACTTCTGCTGATGCCAAGAGCCTCCCGCCTCATTCTAATGCCCCTCAGCTGATGACCTGGTGTAATATAGGACTGCACCTATACTCCAGGAAAATAGCTCTAAGGGGGTTGGGACCAAATGTTGCTTTTTCATTATCATGCATATAATGGAGAAGGTACTGTATATGCCTCCCTTGTATACCACATTGATTCCTGTGCTGTGCAGTAGAGGACCTCCCATAGACAACATCCTTTCAGGAGGTTTGTTCTGTATAATATAGGAATTGGGCCTTTAGCATTATGGCAGCAACCTTTTGGTATACTCTCTCATGACATATCAGGTACCGTTTTTGTTGTCTTTTTGACAAATACAGAAGATCATCCTCCTTCAACAAGCCTCTTAAAGGAAGATCTTTATCCCATTTTGATTCTGTAGTGGAACTATTTTGAACTGTTTTATATATTGAATTGTTTTTAATTTTTGTATTATTTTATATTTGGAACTGTTTTTAATTTGTCTTGTTTTATGGTGGCAACTGCTTCATTTGTTTTATAATCTCTCTCTCTCTCTCTATATATATATATATATGTATTTGGTGTAAGCTACCCTGGTAAAGGGCAGAAATCTCATAAATAAAAGGCACCCCCTTATTTATTTATTTCATAAACTTTATACACTGCTTGATTGTAAAAAACTACAAAAAGATAAAACAAGAAAATCTAGAAAAAAATCCCAAACATATCTTGAGGATATAGAAGTTAAAATACTAAAGCATATTAAAATTACCTCAACTTTCTAAGCATCTGGGTAGACATTCTTCAGTCTGAGAAATACCTTGGAAATACCCTGTCTATGCAAATTTAGAAACAAACACTTGCATTTTTTGTTTTTGAAAAATCATTAACTCCTAATTACTACTGCATTACTCAAGTCTTTTGACAGATTAGTCTTTGAAAGGAGAAAATAAATAAGAAACTTCAGATACAGCAGCACACTTGGAAGACAACAGAAACTGAGGTCCCTGAAACAGAAACCTTTTAATAAGGAGTGGTGTAGAGTTCAGAGTTATCCATTTCAAAAAAAATATTTGAGCATTCACTCTGTTTAAACTTCTGTTGTACAAACTTGGGCATTTTTCTGAATTATTCGAAGAAGTTAATTGGGGGAAGTAGAGATCGTGCCTTAAGTGCCTTTAACAAACAATCTACCATCCCAATGTGAATGCAATACTGCTCCCCACAAGGCAAAACTTTTGTCTGATCTTCTAGAATTACAGTGACTATTTCTTTGATTTCTTCATTGAATTACTACCAGCTAAAAAAATTTAAGAAAATAGGCTCACTCAGTCTTTCCCAACCTGGTACCCTGTAGTTGTTGTTAGACTGGAACTCCCATTAGCCCCCGCTAGCATGGCTGGTCATCAAGGATGCTGGAGCTCCCAGTCTTGTTGTTGTACTTCTACTTCTCTTAGGCCTCCTTTCTGCACTGGCAGGAGATGCTTGCTCTGTTCTGCAGCCCCTCCTCATCTTGGTTTTGCTTTTCATGTTCACAAAAGAGAGAAACATTGAATGCTTCGTTATGGCGCATTCCTTAGTGGGTGGTGCTGGCCTTTGGTGCATAGTGGTGTGGAAAGGTGCTCTTCTGATGGTGGTACCTCTGTCTCCTCAGTGGGGCTGCTGGCTAGCTTGGTACCCACACACAGTCACTCCAAGTCACTTATGTCTAGTAAAGGTAAAAGTACCCCTGCCCATACGGGCCAGTCGTGTCCGACTCTAGGGTTGCGCGCTCATCTCGCTCACACTCGCAGACACTTCCGGGTCACGTGGCCAGCCTGACGAAGCTGCTCTGGCGAGCCAGCACCAGCACAGCACACGGAAACGCCATTTACCTTCCCGCTATAAAGCGGTCCCTATTTATCTACTTGCACTTAGGAGTGCTTTCGAACTGCTAGGTGGGCAGGAGCTGGGACCGAACGTCGGGAGCTCACCCCGCCGCGGGGATTCGAACCACCGACCATACGATCAGCAAGTCCTAGGCACTGAGGTTTTACCCACAGCGCCACCGCCACCCTTTACCTTCAAGTTGTTCTAATGAGTTACATCATAGTAATTTTGAGAATCACTGTCTCCTGATCATTTTACATTGCTGCGGTAACATTCATCCTTTTATATATGTTAGCTGCGTGGTCTGGTCTGCGATCCCTTGACATTTTCTTCTACTCACAGTGCAGCAGCTGCAAAGCGAGACTGACTGTCTTGCAGTGGGATGTAAAATGATCAGGAGACAGTGATTCTCAAAAGATAAAGGTAAAGGAACCCCTCCTATGGGCATTCCCCCCCCAAACAATATGCATAACTAAATTACATGTCTGAGAAGGCTTGTTGAAATAAAGGTGTTTTCAGCAGGCACCTAAAACAGGAGGGAAATGCCTGCCTAATGCTAACAGGCAGGGAGCTGCATAAGATGGCTCTGTGAACAAGGAATGCTCCCTTCCCCAGGCACAAAGTGATAAAGTTTCCCTGGCTTTACTCTCATTATATCAGATCACCACAGTGACTGCTGAGACACAAGCTTTTCTTCATGTAGTGCAGATAGATAGATAGATAGATAATACTTTATTCGGCTATAAGCCCACAAGGTAAAACCAATCAATAAATAAAATAGCATTTTACATTCTAAAATATCAACTAAAATATTTCAACGCATAATCTCCTTCACATTACATACAATCTCTAGATGTACCATATTGTGGCCTTGAATATAAAGATGGTGGATAGAGTTTACTAGATTTTTAATAGTCATGCAGCATTCCATGAAGTCTTTTATATATACTCTGGCTTCTCCTCAGATCGTATAAATCTTCATGTAGTGCAATGACTACAGGAGGGAAGATTGGTTTGAGACGGGGGTATTTGGGCCTCCCCACTGTGGCAGAGGCCCCTCTGGTCCTATCCATGGTGGAAGAGGGCCTTGTCAGGCCTCACAGCCGCCTTCTGACATGACATCACACGTGTGACATCATGCACATTTGACGAGCCCTCCTAATTCTGTGTGCCTCTGCTCAGCACCAATCAATTGGCCCCCAAGGAGTGGGAGAGGTAAGGATCAGTCTCACCAGCTCCAGTTTCCCTGCCCTGCTCCATAAATGGTATGCACATTTAGCCCCTGGATATGGATACAGATTGTGAGGCAGGAAAGGGAGTTTGGCAAAATTAGAGGCTGGAAAGAGAAAAATGAGGAAAATGAGGAAAAACTGTGTCTCCCTCAAAACAGGCAATACTGTTAACTTTCAGAAGATGCAAAGAAGGACTTTAAAAAAGGGGGAAAAAGAAAAAAGCAAGTGCATCTGAGCAAATGAGGTAAAATGGCTATTCTAAGCAAGGATGTGTTGCAGGAAAAACGTGTCAATTGCACCTCCTGGTGGCCAACCCAAAAAGTTTTCTTTAAGAGAAGTCAGGATCTTTTCTGCACAGGGAGGGTGTGTTTGTGCATATATATGTCGAAAATAAGCTTTCAAAAACACTATTGAAATCTCAAACTTGGCAAGGTGTATTTTCTTTTAAAATATTTTATTTAAACAAGAACATACACTTCAATAACACACAAGAACAAAAAGAAAAAAAGAAAAAGCAGAGAGTTCAAGTAGGGAAGGGTGGGCGCAAGCAGAGGGGTGCCCTCTGTTGCAGTTGGATTTCTCTTCCACAGGCCGTCCTGGGGGGCTGAGAGGGGAGGACCAGAATTGCACAGGGTTCCCGATCATGTGGACATGGAGCGCATGAAGGTTAAGAGCAGAGGGCTCGGGGAAGGCCACATGCACACCCACAACCTCTACTCACATTATTTCAGTGTCCCAAGAGGGATATTTTAACAATATGTTGACACCCTGTAGAGTGTCCATAAGAGGGCTACCTGGAGTCCTTTGAGGAATGGCTGAAAGAGTTGGGAATGTTGCCTCACAGGGATGCCTAGAAGCAGTGGCTAGAAATGCCTCCTGCACAGAGCAGGGGTGGGACTTGGTGGCCTTTAAGATGCCCCTCTGTGAATGAATACAATGATTTCCCCACTTTCAGCTGTCTTCAGCCCCTGCTCTTTCGTATTGTTCCAAACCATGTAAAGCAACTGGTAAAGCACATTGTGCCCAGGTCACATCAGTCAAGAAATTAAGATGTATACGAGAGCTATAAAATAATAATAAAAGATTAATGTTCAACTTCTGTCTCTGCCTACTGCACCTGGGATATTGCCATTCGATATTTTAAAATGCTAAATATGCGTTACTAACATACCAACTCTAACCTGCATAATTAGGAGATAAGGGTCCTTATCTGATCTCTATGGGTAAAGTTCTTTTCCAAGTTCTCCAGCTCCCATGCTGCGGCATGTTTGCTGGATATGTGCCAAGGCAAATCTCTTTCCTGAAAAGTATTTGGTGGGTTATATAACCTGCGGAGAGAAGAATACGCAGAATCAAGACAGTATACCAGTGGTGACTGTGGCAACCTTTGTAACTCAGGCAATGTGTTATGTAATGGCCAGTCCCTTACTATTTGAAGAGTAAATATCAGGAGCCACCATGGAGGTTCCAAGCAGACGTGTGTGCAGTCATAGGAATGAAAAACACAGTCATATAACCAAAGTCTCACCTGCAAAGGAAAAAGAGGCATCAGGAGAAGTGCATTTTTCAAAAAGCCAAAAAAGTGGAGCCTAGCTGAAATCAGTGGGCCTAGACCATGCGGAGGCAAACTAAGGCCCAGTCGCCTTCTAAATCTGGCCTGCAGATGGTCTGGGAATCAGCGTGTTTTTCCATGAGTAGAATGTGTCCTTTTATTTAAAATGCATTTCTGGGTGGGGCATATGAATTTGTTCACCCCCCTAAATATAGTCCGGCCCCCCCCCCACAAGGTCTGAGGGACAGTGGACCGGCCCCCTGCTGAAAAACTTTGCTGACCTTTGGCCTAGACATACAGCACAATAAGAAGTCCTACTGAATTGAGTGGGTCTTACTCCCAGGTACGTTGAGTACTGCAACGTACTGCAGCCTAAATCTAGATCTAACCCAACATGTTCAAAATTATGTGACTACATAAAGACTACCATAAGGTTACCAGATGTCCCTGTTTCCCGGGGACAGTCCCCGGATTTACAGCTTTCTCAGCATTCACATGTATGCAGCGAACAATAAGTGTCCCCAGGTTCCAGGTTCACTGAAATTTTTTTGGTAACCTTAGACTACCAGCAGCCTGGTAAATATTTCTTGTAGGTAAAGGATGGAGAACTTCTGGCTCTCCCATTTTTCTGGACTCCAGGTCCCATCAGCTGCAGCCAGTGGGGCCAATGGGGGGAGTTGCAGCCCAGCTATGTCTGGAGGGGAAGGTGAACACTCACTTTCTGCACCAGTTAAATTTAGAAACTTGGATTGCAGGACTTTGAGGCACTGTGCTTTCTTTTTTCTTTTTTAAAAACAGATTTAATTCTGTTCCCGTCGAATGGGTCTTTCTATGTTTTGATATGCAAGTCGCCTCGAGTCCCATCAGAGGGAAAGGCGGGGGATAAATATATGATACGGACGAGGATGGGAAGGCTATGCACACAGCGCCCTCTAGTGGCCCGCGGGCAGGAGCCGCACGCGGCAGCGCCCCCCCCCCCCCCGTTTCAAAGGCCGTAGGCTGGCGGGCTGCGCTGGCGCCCTCTGCTGGAAGCATCTGGAAGCGCCGCCGCTGGCCTTGCTGGGCGCGCGCGGAGCGGGAGAGAAGGAGGCGCGCGAAGCCCTTCTGCTGCGCCCCCGGGCAGGTGAGCCGCGGGGAAGGGGGTCGGGTTTGGCAAGCCTGGGCAGATCGGGGGGGGGGGGCAGAGCAAAAGGGAAATGAAGAAGAAAACCCTCGAGTTGCTTTTGAGAAATCCAAAAGCGGCAGCAGAGAGACGTGCCTTTGAGCATGTGCAGAGTCCCCTCTGAGCGGCGTTTTGCAGGGGGCCAAGGGAGTCGAGGCGGGACTAGCCGGGCTCCTTCGTCCCTTGGGCTCCCTGCTGGTCTGTCCCCGGAAAGTGTGTCCCTTGCGGGGCTGCCAAGGCGGCCTCGAGGGTCGTGCTCGGCGTCGCTCCTGGGCTAGTGGGCGGCGGCGGGGGGGGGGGCCTGTCCTGGATATATAGATATGCCAAATGCCTTTTCCTCCAGACGGAGGGGCCACGATGAGTCTTTGTAGCCTCCCTAGGTCTGGACTCCAGCTCGCATCAGCCCCGGCCGGGATCCAGCCTGGTTGGTGAATGCTTCATTATAAAGCCAGAATAAAGAGCTCAGAAAAAGGAGAAGGGTCCTCGCACCCTTTGCAATAGACATATGTCTTCACAAGTCATCTCCAGAAAAGAGACCTTTGACACGATCTCCCGTTTTCTCTTTTATTGAAGAACAGGATATTTTAATGCCACCATCGTCAGAGAGGTGTCTGTGGAGGGGATATATTGAATGAAAATGCATTGTATTGTAACTTTTGAATATATGTGGGGGGAAATGTGAAAATGGTCAAATACATTTCTGTCTCTTTCAACCCTGATATTTCTCTATTGGAAAACGTTGTGATAGATGCAAAACCCAAACATTTCTTGCTTTAGCTCTTTAGAGGAAAGCTTAGGTGTAGCTAGGAGAGGGGAGGTTTAAACTACTTGTTTATATTTTGAAAAGCAATGAGTTATCCAGAAATCCTGTCCTTAAATTAACTTTAGTTTCTTCACACGCCTCTTCATGATTCAGTTTATGGGAGAAAAGCTGAGACTGATTCCAGGAATTCTACACTGGAGAAGGGACAGTGTGCAGTAAACAATTCTTGCTTTAGAGGCACAAGTGGGGGAGCCAGAACTTGGTTCAAAGTGCACACTGTTGCAACACTGCCATAAATATTTATAGAGGTGGAATTCAGCTGAATCATTGCCAAAGTGCAGACTTCTCCATCCATAAATTAAATAACGACATGTTCTGGTTTTTGGATTTTTAAAAAAGAAAATAGTTTGGGATGAATTTGCCACTTACTATGTTGTCCCCGAAACAATTACATCTCATTCCATTTCTTAAATAGCCAGCCTTCTGTTTTGCCTGCACACATCCTCAAAGGAATCATCCCATGTTGCTTGTTCTGATCATCTCATTTACAAGATAGCCACTTTCAGAAGGCGATGGATGGTCCTCATCTCCCCCGCTGGAATCCAAGCAAGTCTTATTCCACAACCATTGCATCTCCTAATATCCCCATTGCTTCTAAGTTGGCACTGAAAGGCCAACTTACATCCTTTAGAGCCAGGGCTAAATCCAGCCTACCACTTGCAGATCCCTAGTCATGGTTTGTTTTCATGGAACAAGGAGGAGGCCACGTTTAGATGACCAAATCCTGTCTAACCAGGATGTGCACACACTTCAGGCAGATTAATAGTGCAAAAATATGGGTTGGTATTTTGATGCTGACAACATCATATGGATGCTGTGAAAAGCTTGTTTGCTTGAGCAAGACTGATCCCAGAATAAGCAGCCATCCGGAGGTACCGCAGGGTTGCTGCCTATATATTATGAACAACTTGACTTTGGTGAAACATTGCTGTGTTCCCCAAGAGATATTTAGACACATTTAGTTATTTGGCTCTTCTGTAAGTATTAGGGTGCTCTATCCAATAAAAGGTGCTTTTGGTTGTAATTTAAGAGTCAGAGTTGTATACGGATTCTTATCTAAAATGTAATGAGTTGGGAGTGTGCTTTGCCACTATATAGACAGACAGACAGATAGATAGATAGATAGATAGTGGTTTTACCATATGATATCACTAGATACAAAAGTGTGGGAGAAAGATCCTAGAATCATTTGTAGATGGAGAGATTGTGGCAACCAGAGAGAACCTCTGAATTGCATTGGGAGGGGGGGCATGGAGATAATGCGCCATGAAGCAAATGGGTTCTACTGTGTAGAAGGGTATGGAGCTGCAAAATGTCTTGCCGGAAATCTATGTATCTACACATGTCTGTAAGTTTTATTTTATTTTAAAGGAGTTTCAGTCTGCCATTTTTCTTCTCAGGTATTTTCTTATTTGAAAATGAATTTTACAGCTGAAGAAGTTTCCTTTCCAAAGGTGACCATTGCCTTCTTTACGGTGGCTTCCATTTTAATTTCTATACGAATTTTTATGAAGAGCAGGCAACCTCGGCCACCAGGACCTTGGTCTCTGCCAATTGTGGGGAATCTTCTCCAGCTGGGAGAGTATCCCTACATTTCATTTGAGCGCATGCGGAAGAAATACGGAGATGTGTTTCAGATAAAGCTGGGAATGGTACCAGTCGTGGTAGTTAATGGACTGGATGCAGTGAAACAGGTGCTGCTTAGAGATGGGGAGAGTTTTGCTGCCCGACCTGACATGCACACCTTTTCTTTTTTTGCTGATGGAGAGAGCCTGTCATTTTCTGTGAAGTACGGAGAAAGCTGGAAGCTTCAGAAGCAAATTGCCAGCAAAGCTTTAAGGTCGCTCACCAAATCAGAAGCCACGTCTTCCACTTGCTCTTGTCTCCTCGAAGAGCATGTTTGTGCTGAAGCTTTGGAACTGGTGAAAACCTTCGTGGAGCTCTCCAAACAGGCTGGTAGCTTTGACCCTGCTGCCTCCACTACCTGTGCAATTGCGAATGTTGTCTGTGCCCTCTGCTTCAACAAAAGGTATGACCACGATGACGAGGAGTTTCAAGGCATGCTTAAGGTAAACGATGATTTCATAAAAGCATCAGGTGTCTTCAATCCAGCTGATTTTATACCATGCCTTCGTTACCTCCCGCTTCCTGCTGCAAAGGCTGCTCGAGAGTTTTATAGGAAGTTCAACAACTTTGTTGCAAAACGTGTAGAAGACCACTGCACCACATACGATAAGGTAAGCTTTCAGCCGTGGAGGCGGAAAACGCCGGGGGTGGGGGTGGTTCTTCAGGTAGCATGACACTTATCTAACCAAAGCATGGCAGGAGATCATGCCTGCCAAAAACACCGAAAGGGTGAATACAGGAATGCAGAATCTTTCTGTTCAAACACTGGATTTCTGCAGTTTGTGGCAGAGTAGAATGGCAACTTAGATCACATTTCTCATATTAACATTCCTAACATTCCAGACATGTGGAAGGTTGACATGTGTTTTAATCTAGTTTTCTGTTTATCACTGATTTTAATCACTTTTGAATGTTATAAATAGCTGTTTTAAAAATAATTTCATTTTTTTGTAAACCACTTTGAGGATTTATTACAGTCAAGTGGTATATAAATCTTGTGGGGAAAACAGAACTATTATTTCCTGGACATGCAAATATTCTATCCAGTTTCTCTAATAGTTAAAGCATATTCGTTTTCAATGAAATATTTGTAAAATTATTTTTAAAATTCTGATCTTCTTAAAAAAATGAAATGCATTGTAATGAAGCGGCTCACTCTCCCCAAATAAAAACAACTTAGTTAAAGAAAATTAAAATTAAAAACGCATTACAAATGGAGCAGTAGCAATTAAAAGAAAAAATAGAAGCAACGGGGCAGAGAAAAACAAGAGGCAGCAAATCAGTTAGGCTTAAAATCTCAAAGAGCCAGGTGTTAACTAGACACTCAAAGAGCAAAACACTGGAGCCCCATGACCAAAATGGTTGCACTCCATATGGGGAAGGATTCCCTGCCCCACTGCTTGGGTTCCTAAACCATGTAGAGCTGTAAAAGGAAGAATCAGCATCTTGATTTGAGCCTAGAAAGTAATAGACTATGCAGATGATGGGAAGTTGGAGCAGGATGCTGTGTTTGACTGTTGGTAGATGCTAATTGGGCAATAGCATTTTGCAGCAGTTGATGCAAAATTGTACCTCCAAAAACTGCTGTTAGCTCTGGAGGGGAGACTGCACAGGCACAATGGTGGTGTCTGTATCCCTGGCCGCCCCCACCTCCATCTCCACCCCCTGGAGTTCTGGGATATTGATTTCGCATCAGGAAATCTGAGGAGGGGGCATGTTGCATATCAGTTCTTGGCTCAAAAAACATACCAAGTACTGTGTCCAGTTCTGGGCAACACAATTTAAGGAGGATATTGACAAGCTGGAATGTGTTCAGAGGAGGGCAAGCAAGATGATCAAGGGTCTAGAAACTCTACAATTCTATGATACCTGTTCCAGAGACTAGGACCTGAACCAATGGCTTCAAGTTACAAGGAAGGAGATTCCTACTAAACATCAGGAAGAAATATCTGATGGTAAGAGGTTGTCAAGCAGAGGTTGGATGGCCATCTGTCATGGATGAATTAATTGAGATCCCTGTGTTGCAGAGGGCTGATCAAGATGACCTTCAGGATCCTTTCCAACTCTACAGTTCTGTTTCTGTGTGCATTGTAAGGGGAAACATTTTGAAATGCACATTTTTATGTACCATGGTACCTCTGGATATGTACACCTCCGGTTGCGTATCCTTCAGGATGCAAATGCAGCAAACCCGGAAGTATTTTTCCGGGTTTCACTGCACATGCATGCACAGAAGCGGCACCTCTGGTTGCGAATCCCTCGGGATCCGGTCAGAGCTCCGGAATGGATCCCATGCACAACTGGAGGCACCACTGTAGTTTAAAACAGAAGTCACAGATTAATGTGACTTCTGTCCAGCCTTATGTGAGATTGGGAGAAGATAACACTCTTGTACTATCAAGAGAAATACCATTAGCAGCTTTCTTTTGTGTGTATTGACTTGGCAGTAAATTCCTGTGACTTTAATGTTACTTAGGCCAATAGCTTGCTATGAAGTCAGGCTGGGATTGTTGCCTAAGGAATTTATCACTATGCTTGACATTATTAACAGCTGATACTTGCTGCTTTCTTTTCCAAAATAAATTTTGTCCTAAGAGTCTGAAGCCCTGGATTTGGCTGGGAGGAGAAAAAACAAGATAGACTCGTTATATGTAGGATTAAACAAATTGTAGGTTGCCAAGTAAAAAGTGATTGGTTGAAAATAGCATCAAGGGTTTTGTTTGTTTCCTTTAGAACCATCTCAGAGACATCACAGATGCCCTCATTAGTGTTAGCAATGAAAAAAGAGAGGACGGGAAAGCTGCAGCTTTATCTCATCAGAAAATAATAGTGACAGTCAATGACATTTTTGGGGCTGGTAAGTCTGGAACATTTTCGCCACTCTGAGTTTTTAAACATGACCCTTAAAGCACAGCTGCCTGCTGTTGACTGACAGCTGCTCTTTTAGGTGAAGAGCAGGTGGAATTTTAGTGGGGACCATATAAAGGCTCCTATCTTTGTTGGTGGATAGACTTAGTGTGACTTAAAATTCATGAGATTTTTAAAAAGTATACATTAATTAATTGTAGACCTCTTGCCCAGTGTCTTCTGTGTAGATGGATTTTGTGTCATTGTCAACATGGACAAACTTCAACAAAGTGTGTTAATTTTTTCCAACACCTAAAATATGGAATTGGTTTCACCCCCTAAAATGGAACTCAACATAATCCATTTTAACGTTTGATAGGAAAGTACTGTTTGGCCAGAAATTGAGGACCTGATGACAAAATTATGGCCAGAAATTGAGGACCTGATGACAAAAACTCCATCCTACAAAGCGTTGCAACTGTGGGGAACAGAAGTGTTGAGTTGTGCCCAACATTAGGGGAGTCTGTCACGCATGCGTGATGTCACATGCACGCCATCCCTCCCACCCGACCAGGGCGGCTCAGCTGCTGTCCCCCACCGCCCACCCTGGCCATTGTGAAAGGGACGCACAGGGCAAAAACCCTGTCACAGCCCTGGCAGAAGATGCGTGTGGTTTTGGGATTTTGAGGGTGCCCAGCCCCCTCCTTCAAAATTTTACGGGTCCTCGGCCCCCGTTACAGGGCACGCCTGGTGGGGAAAATGCTCGTGCAGGCATGGAAATATCCAGGACCGGGATTTAAGTGAACCATTAGCAATTACCAGTAGTACCAAAACATGTCAAATCATAACTATCTAGTCAATTTTATATGGAAATGTATGGATGTATGTATTCCATACATTCGTGATGGAATATCTCTTGGGATTTGTGCATTATGCCTACAACGGATTTCAGCATATAGAAATACCGAAGTGTTGTTTGCAGAATAATAATTTAACCACAACATATTCTGACACTTCTTTTATTTTGTAGGCTTTGCTACACTGTCAGTATGTTTGCAATGGATATTTCTGTACCTGATAAGCAATCCAGAAATTCAAACGGAAATTCAAGAAGAAATTGGTAATGTTCTTGATTAAATTGATTAAATGGAAAATTGAAACAATCCTGTGAAGCACATTGCTTGAAACATGTTCCATTTTGTTCTGTGCAGATGCAAAGATTGGAGAAAGACCATCAAGGTTTAAGGATCGAAAAGTTCTGCATTACACAGAAGCTTTCCTTCATGAAATATTTAGGCACGCCTCCTTCCTGCCCTTCACTATTCCTCACTGGTAAGAAGCAGAGTTGGAGAGGGGTTTTGTTTCAGAGTTCTGCTCATATGACTACTTCATGTTTTGCATGGTGCTGCCAACACGGACAGAACTGCCAAGTTACCTTAACTGACTGCATGGAATAGTTAGCACTCTGCCCCCCTTCCCTAACTTCCCATCACTGGATTCTGCCTTAACACTGGGGCTTGACCACAGAAGTAATATTCCAGATAATTTTTGCCGTCATCGATTGAATTCTGTGTCCAGTAGAGTACTGAAGAAAGAAGTGTCTTATTTTATGAGGAGTTCCCCTAGCTTATAGGTAAAAGATGTGGCTTAGGATATTTGTCCACCCTGTTACAGTTCCCTTAGATCCCCTGGTCATCCCCCAATACTATAATGCTCTTAGCCCTAAAGTGACCAATTGCAAGAAAGCCACTCAGGCAGAACTGTTTAAAATTCACCACCAGCACCACCAAAAAAGATTTATTTCTTTAAATGGCCTATATTTATTTGTAAATAAAACACATCAATTAACAAATAATAATTCAGGGGCTGGACATCTTTAATCAAATAATTTGAAGAAAAAATGAGTGCCACCCAAATTCAAAATCCGCCAGGATGAGAGTGGATCTTGTGCTTTCCCAGCTGAGCTGGGACTCAGCCAGAGATATGCTAGCAAAGTCCTTTACCTCAACTCAGCTGACAGTATTTAAGCCACCCAAAATGGGGTGGGAGAGGGAAGAGAGACTTGCACCAATTCAAAATCAATTTTGTCATGTGACTTAGCAACCTTTAGGAACTTAGCAAATTTATAAACAAGATTAAGTGGGAGAGTGAAATTTGAGGATGAAAGCAAGAACGTGGGAGAATCAGCCAGTCTTGTAAGCTGCCTTATAAACTTCTTCTCTGGGAGCCTCACCAAGAACCAAGCTACATTCTGGATCTCCTGATGTTTCCAATTTTTTACTTTAAAGTAGAGTTCGGGAGGAGGCAGCGCTGAATCACCCTCCCCACCCAGATCTCTGCTGTTAGCCCTCTCAGGCAAAAACTCCACAGGTGCCTGACAGAAGCTTTGAGGGCAGTTTAGATGGAGAAAATGTTCATGTTCAGAATTCAGAAAAGCTGTGTTAAGGTGAAACCCAAAATGCTTCAGGAGATGTAAGCATGGGATGCCTGTACTACAAACAGGGCAAAATAAGAAACCATTGCTCAGCTCAAATGAAAAACAGGTTGTGGGGTTTATTTCTTCTTTTGTTCATCTTGTTTCATTTATTTTAACAATGAATAAGGAAAACAGTATTTCATTCACATGAAACGTTCCATGACATTTGGAAAGCTCTTAAATCCCCAACTGGAGAAGCCAAGATCTGTAATGCTGGTACATAACAACATAACATCTAAGTGACCCTTTATGTCATCAGTGATGGACCCAGGCCATTCTTGGTGGTTCCTTTTGTTTGTACCATGACACTCGTAGCAGGAAGTGTAGATCAGTGTGGGGCAATCCTAAATTATATTTCTGATAGGTGGGGGCCACGGGTTGATCTCTCACCGCTATCTGCAGATTGCTGCGAAGCTGTTGTGCAGCTCCACATATCACAGTGTTGAACAAAAGTGATGTTCATGTGCTTGTGTGTTTGTTTCCAGTACCACCAAAGATGCCACTCTGAATGGGTACCATATTCCCGCAAAGACTTGTATCTTTGTTAATATGTATCAAGTGAATCATGATGAGTAAGTAACAATACTATTTTTAAGAAAAGGCATTATAGTCAGGGTTTGTTTTTTTCTTGTGTCTGCCGTGCATAAGCTTAGAAGGTAGGGTGGACAGGGCGTGACGGAGAGGGACTTGTCTTGGGGGGCATAATGCATTTCTGAGCATGGCAGGTAGAAGCTCCTATTGGACCACTGGGCAGTAACACACACCTGGTCTCCGAGCAGAGACAACTCTGCTGCTTTCCAGGCAGAGAGTGGAAGAGGAGAGGTGGCAGGGAAGTCAGTGCTGTGTGGTCAGACTGGCAGGAGTGCCACGTTGGCTGTGCTAGTGCACTGGCAACCCCATCCAACCATCTTAGCAGCTGGCAACTGTGCCACTACCAGGAGGCAAGGTGCACAGTGACGTGTCCCTCCATGCTGGCTGCTCTTGACTCCCGCCTTGGGGCCTCTTGTCAGTGGAAGCCATGCATCTTCCCTGTTTGGTTGCTATCTTTGCTTGTTAGGGATATTGCCGACTCTCCCAGCAACACAAGCGGCATTTCAAGCATCTCCCAATACAGGGGAGGGCAACCATTTTTCTCTTGGGGGCAGTCTGTTAGAGGACATCAGTGGGTTAAAGGCAGTGGTGAGCAGGACTAAAACCGAATGCTTTCTCTCTTTCTGAGCCCATCTCTCTGTGCCCCACTGATAGGAACATTGGAAGGTGCTTTATACCCAACTGCTCCATCGACTTCAGTATTATCTACAGAAGGGCAGCCATTGGTTGTCCAGATGTTGTTGAACTACAACTCCTGCGAGCCCAAACAAGCAGTGGCCTCGGATGACGGAAGTTGTAGTTCATCAACATCTGGAGGGCCAGAGTTTCCCAACACCTGCTCTGCACTGACTGGGAGCAGCTCTCCAAGCAGATTCCCAGCACTACCTGTTGGGGATTGAATTTGGGACCATCTGCATGCAAGAGGTGCTCTGCACTCTCCTATGACACCTGCCTTTATGTGTATATCCCATGGATGGGTGACCTAATCTCTACTTCCTGTTTGCTTTTGAGTCTTTCCAGCAAATAAAGCTTAGGACTTTTATCAATCCATTTCAAACTCATCTCTGCCTCCACAAGGGACATTGTTTTTTTTTTCATTTTAAAAGTGGGCTTCCAAAAATTTGAATTAAAAATCTCAGTGGAATGTTGCTTTCTTCATTGCTTAGGTGTGGCTAAATTATGTGAAGCATAACTTAAATAAAGTGTCCTGCATTGACTATAGCAGCCAACTTTGCTTCTTGTAAGAGTTGGGACCTCTAAAATATGGTGTGTTCCCCCCTTTTCACAACAGATCTTTATGGGAAGACCCTTACTTGTTTAAACCAGAAAGATTTCTGAATGAAAATGGAGAGCTCAACAAGAGCTTGGCTGAGAAGGTATTGATCTTTGGAATGGGAATACGAAAATGTTTGGGAGAAGAAGTCGCCCGCAATGAAGTCTTTGTCATCCTCACCACCATCTTGCAGCAGCTGAGGCTGGAGAAACCTCCTGAAGATCATCTAGATCTGAATCCAATTTACGGGCTGTCCATGTCACCTAAACCATACCGAATTAAAGTATTATTACGCACTTGATTGTGATGAGGGCAGCAGCTTTGCTTTCAAAACTCAATGATAATGCAGTTGATGCAGTGAGAACTAATCCATGAACCTTCTGCGACTATATTGCATCTGTCAGGAGAACCATGCTGGGTTTTTTGCTTATTATGATTTTTTTAAATCACTCTGATGACAGGTATGAGATTAGCTAGAGAGCGAATTTAATCCAGGCTCTTCATGAGCAAGTTGCCCATATATCTTTCATGTTTTGTCTTGCAGGGCATAGAACTATGGGAGGAGGGGACATGCAGATGAGTGAAAGGGTGAAAGGCTCTTCTGCAGTGCCAAGACCCTGAGCTGGTGGAGGGAATTGCTACTCTTAACTGGGTCTCCCAACAGGGGTGCCAACTTGAATAAAATACTGTGGGGGCCCAGGTAAGCCCCACACCGCATAATTGATCACACGATGCAGTGCACACACACCATTTGAATGGGAAGGCCCATCAACTTTGTGGAGGCCCCCTCAAATATTTTATTGTGGGGGCCGAAGCCACCACAGCCCCTAGGCGTTGGCTCCTATGTCTCCTGATGTTACATCTAATGGCTTCTGTAAGAAGGTGACCCAGAGGTTTTTGAGCCCACAGCTTGATGAACCACATTCTTTCTGCGGCTCCCCTGTTGAAGCCACTTACAGTGGGATTCCATTATAGGAAGTGGGGATTTCCCCATAAGAGAGAGAACGAAGCTAAGAAATAAGCAAAGGGGAATGTGTATCTAAGCAAAGAGTTGAAAGTGAGAGACCGTTCCCTAGCAATGTGAAAGAGGGCAGAGAAAGAGACTGAGAGATCTTACTCTGGAAGGTATTGGCACCATTCCAAAACCTGGTGCCTGTGCTGAGCTGATGTCAGCTGCAGTTGAAACCATCCGGGCAGCACCAGCTTGGGGAAGAGGTTGCAAGGTGTTTGGCATCAGGACTCTTCTCCACCCTTGCCCTCTTCCTACCTTGCAGTTTTCTCTGGTGAAATGGCATTAGCAAATGGACATACTTCCCCACATAAAAAATTCATTGCTCTTGTAACGGAACAAGGTAGCTGTCAACTGTTACCTAAACAACTTTCCATGGTTTCGTTCTTGTTGCCAGAACCGGTTATGGCTGATGCAAGTCTGTTGCTTCTTGCATGCATCTGACAACGTGCGCTTGGGTCCTCTAAAGGCTAGGCCCAGAGCTTTTCCCCCCAGGGGGTACTCAAAGATACCCAGTACTAGCACCTCTTTTGTTGTTGCTGTTAAGAAGTGTGACACTTAGTGTTAACAACTTCATGGTGACTACCGGCACCTATTTTTCTAGGGAAAAAAGCACTGGTTGGGCCAAATAAAATTTTTAGATTTTAAAGATCCCACCAGTCTTGTCATTATTTTAAGCTATGTTTGCCTTCTTGTTTTACATTAGTTCATTGAACAATTGATAGACACCAGGGCCAGCTATATCTATAATGTAAGCCTAGGGCATTCCACTATTCTTATGCGGGTATTCTTATAAGGCAAAAGCCATTCACCTGGCCTGAACAAAAAGTTCATTTAAAAAGCAAGTAGGTGGCAGAGGCAGTCACAAAACACAATCTTTGACTTTAACCAGAATGAATGAGGAAAGAATTTTCAAGATTGCTTCTAAAATAAAAATGTGTTGGCAGTTCTTTATCCCCCTGAGGCTTGTTGAATGCTTGAACCAGCCTTCCTCAACCTGCAGATGTTTTGGACAACAGTTCTAATCATTCTTAAATCATCTCTAACAAGCACTGTCTGTTTCCTTATGCTCTGGTTTGGATCACTGAGATCGTCTGATGGGGCACTTCTGGTGGTTCCCGATGCCCATGGAGTTTGATTGGCCTTTACTAGGGAATGAGACTTTAGTGTGTCAGCCCTGCTCTGTGGAACTCCTTGCTAGTAGAGACTTGGCAATTTTCATTCCTGTTGCCTTTTGGATGTCTTCTAAAAATGATTTTAGTCAGACCTTTTCCACAGGAATTTCTTTTCACTAACCAGTATTGATGTTTTACCTGATGTTTTTATTGACATTTTTATTCTCCTTATTGTAATTCTGTATGCTGTATTCCACCTTCTGTCCTGCTATGGAAGTGTAGTCTATAAATATTTTAATAAATACACAATTGACAATACTGGCTGTGACTGATGCAAATTCTAATTCAAAACACCTGCAAGGCACCAGATTGGGGAAAACTTGTCTTAAGTTTAGGAAGGGGGTAGCAATTTGGGTTGGGGAGGAAAGTTTGAGAATAGCTTGTTCTCCAACTCCAAGGACAATCCTTTTCAGAGCAGAGATTTATATTCATTCTCAGCAGACAGCGACTAATGTCAAGAACTACTTCACATTAATTTTGAAAGGAATGAGCTGAGAGCTTCAAAGTTCAAACTCATGTTCCATTTGTGTGAGCCTAGTTGGTGGGCAGGCTTCTTTCATTCCACACTTGAAGCAGTAATGCAGAAAAAGGAAAATTATGTAGCGATTTTCTTGAAACAACATATTGAAACAACTTGAACATCTCTTACACCAAGTCCTTTTCTCCAACTCAGCTGAACTCTTCTGCTTTTAAATGCTTTTCTATATATTTTTAGCTGAATCTCCACTCCTGAGTTTCCCGCTTTGTTGAACTCCTGGCACTTATCTTAACTGTCCCCGGAACTGTTGCATTCACTGTTTTGAAAAATGTGGGGAAAATAATGTTTATTACTTTGTACATTAGAAACAGGCATATTTTAGTGGATATTTTTTTTTTTTTGGTGTTGCGTGGTTTGCAATTTCACATAAAGGCTCTCATCTCTGCTATACTTTCTGTGCTTAGAACAATTTCTGTCCTTTTAGCAAAATGGGTACAGTGCATATTTTCCTAACAAGCTTCATTAATTAATCAGCCAAAAGCAAATTCCATGTACAATAACGAGCACAATGTAATTCTGAGAGAAAAATGGCAAAACTGGTAATGAAATAGACAGGACAGCAAGAAAGGTCATTGATAACATTGGGAGGTAATGAATGTTGATGGCAAGGACCTGTTCTTAGTTTACGTTGCTTGAAATAATATATCAAATTCTCTGTTAGACTGCCAAAGGTGTTTGACTGTTACGCCCTGGGAGGGATGGGGATTGGACAGATCAGTCTCTATCACTTTTGCACATCTTCATCAATCCTATCTGCCCTCTCCTGTTTTTCATCAAAAAATTAAGAATGAAAATTAGCATATTTCCTCACAAAATATGCAGTTCTAAATCCCCCTGGCTCTAAAGTAAGCATTTTAAATGTATATTTGCTGCTTTATTGAACCAAGAACTGAAACACAAAATTTGGAGAAGTGCAAAATGCAAAGCATAACTATGTTCTGATCTGCACTTTAGTGTGGGATGTGGTGGCATAAGTTAGTTCTCGCTGGAATTCAGAAAGATTTGCTACAGGTTCAGAGTTTCAGGTGGTAGGTAAGAGGGCAGGCACTGTTGCCTGGATGCATCTCACCAGAGGAGAGGGCTTGGTCATGATGGTTAGTTGAGGGAAAGACCAGCCCATGAAGACTAGCTCTTTTTCTCTCATCTTAATTCCAGCCTGGGAGAACTCTGGCCAGCTGCTTCTCATCTCACTTTCTGGAGGCGTGATAGGTGGCACAGCATCGTAACAGGAGGCAACAAGACAGTTGTAGTCTAAGCCGAGGCCAGATCCATGAAAGAATCCCAAGTATGCAGAGTGGACAGTGTAGGAGGGAGGACTGGGTAAAACTAGTACAGCTGGGCAAAGGGCAACAAGTTAGAATGAAAACAAGGCACGGAGCCAAGGAGATCTGTACTTTCACTGCACAAACTGCCATCAGGAAGAGGAAGTGTGTGTAGAAGGTGGAAAGAGCAGATTTTACATGTTGAAAGCAAATAAATAACTTTAGCTAACTATATTTGTTTTTAAACTTTTATTTATCAGTGCTTGAATCATCATTTTATGTATATTTGCTTTTTAATTGGTTTGTGGGTTTTAGCTATATGTTATCTACAGTTTTATTTGTACTCTGCAGAGTTCTTTGATCAAGCAGCTTATCAATCTTATGAATAAATCTTAAAAATGGCCCTTCTTAGTAAGTGATCATACAGAGAATATGTCAGCAACATGCTTTGTGGTGGGAAGTAGGATTTTAAAAAATGTAACATCCAGTATCTTCAGCTTCTTTCTATTCAGACAACAATCATATGTAGACAGAATGTGCCATGTACTTATGAGAAAGAGATATCACTTAATAGTGGTCAGTTTTGAATCCCTGCGGTATGTTTGGACTATCATTTCATTTACTTTTAGTTCTAGCCAATAATGGTATTCATAAGTTATTTTCACATCATTCTGCCTGTTTAGCAGAATGAGCTGCAGCTTTCACTCCTCACAGGAGAAAAGGGTTCAAAAACTCTCATTTCTGCTTTTGATTAGCCACAGCTTGCTGTGTTATTTGGGCCTGGAACAGTGGTTAATATTGATTATTATAAGTTTATACAAACTCAGTCAGTAGAGCAAGAGACTCTTAATCTTTGTGTCATGCGTTCAAGCCCCACATGGGGCAAACTATTCCTGCATTGGAGGGGCTGGTCCTCAGTCCCTCCCATCTCAACAATTCTATGATTCCAATCTGGATTCAGTAACAGTGGTGTGAAGCTACCTAGTTTGGAACAAACCACAGTTGGCAGGCCGTGACAACTGATGGCTAAGGAAAGTAGGGCAGGAGAGGTGAATATGTGAACCTGAGGTTCACGGTAGCTCACTAAACCAGAGATGACCCCATTTTGGACCAAGGGCTGCACTGAACCGTACCCAACCCTCTGGGCGGCACATGTCAAAGGGGTCCTGGCCCCAGAGCAAACATGGCTGCGGCCAAAGGAGGTTTTAAAAATGGACACATCTGGGGGGGGGCTTTGGGGGTCACAAAAAACTTTTGGAATCACAACCTCACTGTGAGGTACCTGTGGAACTAGTCGGCTTTTTAAAAAATGGACAAATGTGGGGGTTGGGGTTGGAGGACAACAAATATATTTTGGCACCACAGTGTCACAGCAGGGGACCTTTGAGTGCTGTCGGTAAAACTAAACATGTTTTATTTTTATCTTTGAAAGGAAAAAGATGAGGTAAATGTTCTGTAGATGTTTGTACTACACTAGGATATTTCATATTGTTATCAGCGACTAACCTGCTCAAAACTTAGTAAGTCAAGGTACCTAGATATCTGTAGGCTGACATGGGCCTATTCAGTTTCCTTACTATGAACAGATGCATATATGATTGTACGAACAGCAGCAAATTGCAGCAGTCAGATAAGACTGGTTAGAGATTTCAACAACCTGGGGACAAATCAAAAACCTCCCCCCTCCTATTTGAGAAAACATAAAGAAGGCATATCAAAAAGAAATATAAATAGCAGTTAATCTAAGTCTTTATGCAATGGCGTAGCGTGGGGGGTGCAGGGGGGGGCCGGCCGCACCGGGTGCAAAATCTGGGGTTAGGGCAAATCCACAGGTTAGGGGGCGCAAATCCATGGGTTAGGGGGCACAAATCCACGGGTTAGGGGTCGCAAATTACTTGCCTTGCCCCGGGTGCTGACAACCCACGCCACACCACTGTCTTTATGTGCTCTGTTTAGAACATTGAAGCAGGTTTTCTGAGAAATTTTGAACAGGATAATTTTCCTGTGCAAATTAGGCTAATTTGCATAGGGTACTTTGCATTGCAAAATTTTCAGTTGTTAAAGTGCTCTGGGGATTGTAGTTCTGTAAAGGGAATAGGCACTTCTTCACAATTCTCAGCACCTTAACAAACTACAGCGCCCAGGATTCCCTAGGAGAAGCCTTGATCGTTAAAGTGATAAAGTAGTGCTTTAAATGCATGGGAAGAGTAAACTCACTGAATCTAACTTAGTCATGCTTAGTAATTTCATTGGGTCCATGCTCACAGAGCTGGCCCACCGATGAGGGAGGGGGAAGCACCTGCTTCAGGCAGTAGAAGCGCAAGAGGCGGCGCCCCGCCTGCCCCACTGCTGCTGCTGCAGCACCCCCTCCCAGGCAAGAGGGAGGTGTTCCAGCACGTGACATTGCTGCTCATCTTCCCACCCCCAGGGCAGAGAAGACAAGCGGCAATGCTTTGAGGAATGCTCTGGCTCTCACCCAGTTCATGGAGATGGTGAGGGAGCAGAACATTCCTGTTTCGTTTTAGGGCAGATCCACACCAAACATTTAAAACTTTAAACCTTCCCTCCAAAGAATCCTAGGATCTGTAGGGTGTTGTTAAGGGTGTTTGGAATTGTAGCTCTATGAGTGTAAACTATAGTTCTGGATATTTGGAGAAGTCATGTGCTTTAAATGTCTGGTGTGGATCTGTGTTCAGAGACCAGTTTTGCCCACTATTAGAGACAGACAGTGTAAACTAAATCCTAGTCCAAAGAGCATTTAGGATAGAAGCATCAGCCCATATCTGGTCTGTGTCTTAACTAAGCAAATGTATCTTCACTAGCTAATATACAGTAGACTCTGTCAACAACATATCTGTAATTTGAGAGTTACACCAATGTCCATTTTGCAGAAGTTCACTGATCTCTGTCTCCCGTTTGTGTAAAGACCCTTTGACCAGCTCCAAGGTGGCTTTCACTTCCAACAGAAGTTTCTTTTGTGGCAAACCATTATGCGCTTCCTCCATCTCCACCTGAGGGAGAGGAACAAATCTTGATCACCATCTCGGACAATTGAAGTACTGTACCTAGCATAATGTGCGACAATGTATCTAAATTACCAAGACAGGCTGAAACTACACTGAACCTTCTAAACCTTCTAAACAAGGTTTAGAAATGAAATAAACCACACACTATTGTAATCTGAAGTAGCTCTTTCTTTGACTGCACTCTCTCAGGACTTTCCCAGATTTTCAGGTGTACAGTGCAATAAATAAAGACTTGGAGCTTATTATTATTTGTGTGAAATCCAAATATATTCCTGCCTGGAAGAAAGTACTTCTGTTTTAAGGGTGCCACATTTTCCTTGTATTCACACCTAAATCTGAGTCCTGGCTCCTGGCACCAGTGCAATCTGAAGGGCAGTCTGGAGTGTGGCTGCCTGAGTGCAGTCAAGATCTCTGCATAGTGCCAGCAACATCACTGATTAGGCACAGCACAGATCCCCAGCCAAAATCCATGATGGGACCCAAATATCCATTGCTTGGCCTGAAAAGAGGAGACTCGTATCAATACACTGAGCCTATTTGTCTAAAGACAAAGTCTGGTGAAGCCGCCCTCCTGTCCTCCCAAATCTGTTTCATTACTGGTTTGTTTTTTTTTAAAAAAAGGTAAAGAACCCCTAGACGGTTAAGTCCAGTCCAAGGCAACTATGGGGTTGCCGCGCTCATCTCACTTTCAAGCTGAGGGAGCAGCATTTGTTCACAGACAGCTTTCCGGGTCATGCGGCCAGGATGACTAAACCGCTTCTGGCACAACTGAACACTATGACAGAAGCCCGAGTGCACAGAAACACCGTTTACCTTCCTGTCACAGCGGTACCTATTTATCTACTTGCACTGACATGCTTTTGAACTGCTAGGTTGGCAGGAGCTGGGACAGAGCAATGGGAGCTTACCCCATTGCAGGGAATCGAACCATCGACCTTCTGATCAGCAAGCCCAAGAGGCTCAGTGGTTTAGGCCACAGCGCCACCCGCTCTCGTGCATATATGACCTGCAGCAACAGGTGTGGGAAAATAGGTCCCGGCTACTAGAACCAGTGCACTGACACCAACTCGAGGGAGCCTTGGGGACCCAGGCACCCACAAAAAAATAATTGTGTATGCTCAGCACACATTTTGTGGGGCCTTGGACGTGACTTCCATGTCCTATCCGAGGCCCTTGGAAGTGGTGTCCTAGGCCTTGCAGATCCTCCAGTGCCACTTCTGGTTCCTCGTGCGGAACTGGAAGTTACATCAGAGACCGCACGAGGCCTACACTTTCCACTTTGAAGGCCCTACAAGGCCTCGGATGGGACCTCCGATTCCTCATGAGGTCCTGGATGTCCCACCTGAGGTCTCGCGGGGCCTTGAAAGTGGCATCCTAGGCCTTGCAGGACCTCTGACGCCACTTCCAGGAGCGATGTAATCTGACACCATGACAACACGTTACATCAGTGCTGCTGGACACCCATGGTCTGCGGCCCAAGTCGGCGCCTCTGAACCAGTGCTTCCAGAAGTGGCTGAATGAGCAGTGTCAGGATTTCTGGATCCCTCACAGCAATAGGCTTCATGGGAGTGGTGGCCCTGCACCATTGCTCTTCCATGAATCTAAAGTAAGATGACTCAGAAACCCTGTTCATGGGGGAAAGGCACCCACGACACTCCTCTACCCTGCAGAGCTTATCACTGGGACCAGAATCGCTTTGGTTAATGAGACCAGAATCTTTTTGCTGTGATGCTTGAGCTGGACTTGCTTTTTTCAGATTTTACCCATGACACTGCAGTTTTAACTCCCGTATGAATCCCATTTTTGAAGGTTGAGCACGCCAATGTGCTGTACTTCACCTAGCAGATATGAGGTCCAGGCTCTTGAAGCAACAAGAGCAACAGAAGTGACAAGCAGCAAATTTATTACTCCGCAAGTTTATTACCATATTGCCATGCATATCTGTGATTTAATATGTTCTGGCAAAAGGAAAGTGGATGGAAGGCTTACCACAACAGATGTAGACCTTTGAGCAGGCTCTGTAGTCTCTGACTCCTGTGTTGTGACATTAGACTTTTCCACCCCTGCATTATGGTCTGTGATTCCTTTTTCTGTTATCTGAAAGAAACTTGCTTTTTTATACATTCCAGTTTAATCACACCCGTTTTGCAACCAAAAGAACATTTCCATTTACTGCTAGTATAACTGTTGGCACTGCAGAATGGAATTTTGCCTCCAAAGGAATATTTGACATAACATATGCTATTTTTCTCCCCTGATTTCAATCAGATTTGTGTGAACAAAACAGAAAGTGAGCTTGGTGAAGTTTGCAAACTGAATCCATAATAGAATGGGGGTCTAATCAGCCCACATTAAACATATATTTTAGAACACTCCCAAATGACCTGCAATTGAGTTTTGCTACTACAGAAAACACTCTAACCCATCTCTCTGCCAGTTAAGTGATTTATAAATAGATCAAATATGTAAAAGGAACTTATTTTCAAAACAGAAAAACTGACCATTTATTCTATTTCATCATCTGCAACACAAAGACGTTTACCTCATCTGATATAATTAATGCCCTTCGTTGATCACAGGGTAAGTCCATTTGAAAATCTACAATTTTCTCCACTTTTTCAAGGTTTACTCTACTCCTCTGAAGTTCTTCAATAGCTGGGAGGGGGGTGAATAGGAGAATGTAACAACAACAAAGATAACTTCTAAAGAGGAAAGAAACAGTTCTAACAAAAGAATTGTAATAATAATTCTGAATAATTCTCCAGAGTTGTACACTTACTTGCCTGTAGCTTCTATCATAGCAAATAGAACTATGATCCAACACCATTCACACAAAGAGCAAGTGGTATATTGTCTGGTTTGGGCTTTGAGATGCACACAAGCATGTGAAAGACAGCATTTTTTTTTTGGAGGGGTGAACTGCAGCATAGTTTGCATGCTCAGTTATCAACCAGGGCTTCTAAAATGTGATAAATGAAACCTTGTGCTTTGGACATTGTAGGAGTCCTTTTGTCAACTCTATTTTTCAATTATGACATGATTAAAAGTCCACTGAGAGACTTCCCATTGAGCAAGAGACATCAGTTTGGAGCTACAAATGAAATTCCTTCAAGCAGTCTTTCTTTTGAAGGGAAACACTTACTTAAGGTGTGCTGGTTATGCAGGCAGTCTAGCTTCTGAGTAGTGCTCTTGAGCAGCCAAGCCTGCAAAAGATCATAACTGTTCAGTTCTCAATTCTTTTGCAGATCAATAGAAGAATGTCTCGTATATATTGTGGTTTATTTATTTATTATTAAAATATTTATATATTTTCCTTCATTTCACAGTTAAATAGTTTACAAAATATAGTACGATGGTATATATTAAAACAAAAATAACACTGAAAACCAACACAGGAAAACACCATGGAAAAATAGAACAACATATTACGAAAGGTTAGTTTTAAATCCAGGAAGTCCTAGTTCTGATGTAACCTGCTCTGAAGCTTCAGGGCAGGACAGGCTTTGATATAAATCACTTATAACACTCCTTTGCAAATAATACACACACTAAGTGAGGAGAAGAGCAATGCTATGTGCTTCTCCTGCAGAGCACCAGAGAATGATGATGGCTGCTAGGCTGAAGGTCAAACACTGGCCCTAGAGGTGCAGGGACCTGCCTGTTTACAGTACGTGTCACTTTCACAGGTATTTATTCATTACTTTGTTCTGACCGAATTCCAAATTAAACTGTTTGCTTGTTGTTTTTTTAAACCTCCATGGAAATTCACATATTTGAACGTATTTTTCACAAAATATGCATTTTTTGGTAAGCATTTAATCAAAAAATGCCAACTTGCCCAGACACCCCCTCCTGCTATTGGCATCAACTGCTGCATTCTTGGTAAGCTTCTCTTGCCAGCTCAATACATTTTTTTTTATTCACCTGAGCTTATGGTGGACCTCGTTAGCCTGCACTTATGTTGTAGGATTGTGTTTTACCATGATCCATCTGTTATCTATTGCTTCAGTGCAACTGATATATTGTGCAGGCATCTCAGATTAACTAGGTGTATTTAGGCACGCACTCTTCCCATGGGTCAGCTCCACTGTGACCAGGAAAGTGCTAGATTTGGCAGGGATCAATGTATTTATTCACCTGATCCTCAAAGCAGAGAGAACATGACTTTGGTTGAAATCAGAAAATGCAATGCCAGTGGACTAATCTAAGGACCATTAATTTAATTTACAGGTCCTAATTACATAATCTATGTGTGCAGACATCTGTTTAAATTTGCTAGTCAAAAAAGGAGAAAACTTTATACAATTTCAGTTGGGTTTTTTAAAGTCAAATTACTCCAAACTACTTCTGAGTTACCTTTTCATCACCCCATTTTTCCTTCTGCAGTGTGATCTGATTTGCCAGCTCTTCTTTCTCTTGTCTCAGTATTCTATTTTCTTCCTTCAGTTTCTGGGTGTATAATTATACAGAAATGAGACTATTATCTTAACCAGACGGGCAAAGAGAGAAACCTGCTTGCTTGCTCTAATTGCTACAGTAATCATACTGTAGAAATGGAGCCTATAACAAAAGGTTGCCGTACACCTGGAGGAGCGTCTCCGCTCATTCAGCCTGAGGTCCAGCTCCGAGGGCCTTCTGCTGGTTCCCTCACTGTGGAAAGTGAAGTTACAGGGACCCAGGCAGAGGGGCTTCTTGGCAATAGCACCCTCCCTGTGGAACACCCTCCCATCAGATGTCAAGGAGAAAAAGATCTACACAATTTTTAGAAGACACCTGAAGGCAGCCCTGTATTGGGAAGGTTTTAGCATCTGGTGTTTTATTATGTTTTTGTATTCTGCTGGAAGCCATCCAGAATTATTATTATTATTATTATTATTATTACTATTATTACAGATCGAATAATAGCTTCTCCGTAGGACTCCAGCCACCCCCCCATTCAATTTCCCCTCCTCTCCCAATGTTTTCTGTCTCCCCCTCCCAGCAATAGCCAGTCAACATTCCATGATCACAGAGCACAATCTGGCTTCATTGGGCTGTCCCCCCCCCGCCCCCGACCACCATGGTTTCTTTCAAAAGATTTTTCGCACATCTGCAAATATTGGGTCACAAGTTCATGCCTGTGAAGTTGTGATGGTGGCAAACCTCACAGGATCTTCACGGCTCATAAGAAATGAAAATATTTTTGTGCAAAGTAGCTTACCTTTTACTTCCTTAATAAAGAGACTAGTAGATCAGCAATCTGCAATTGCACATTTGCCCTTTATTTATAAACTTGAAGGGCAAATGTGAAATTGCAGATTGCTGACCTACTAGTCCTGAATATTGTTCATATAGCCTCATGAAGTTTTAGGGGAGAAGATGTATCCCATCCATTCAAGGTGACAGTATTTTCCTTTTTACCTTTGTTGTGTCTTGCCAGTATTGGTTTTTCTTGTCTACTGTCTCTTGATAGGCCTCCAGCTGAGCTCGCAAGTTCTTCATTTTGTTGCTATACTGATTTTTCAGAGCCAACATAGCTTGTTCCTATCCAAAATATTATGATTAAGAAAATAAGCTAGCTTTAAAGGCAACTAAAAAAGGAGTGGCAGGTATAAACCAAAACCTTTGAATCATGGTTCCTGATACCTCTCCACCTTTCTATGTTAGTTTTCTTCACTTGGATAAAGCTCTAGGGCATTGACTTCAGCTTTGAGCAAATGCTGACAAGAGTTCATTGGTTTCTGGATTTTTCTGTACTCAGCATAAAGACACTTGATAGCCTCTAATTGCTATCTAATTGCTAATTCTTTGGATATAATGCTAAAGTTTAGCAGCCAAGCCATGGTTTAGCATTACAACAATGAGCCTCAGAGAGCTCTGGGCTTGCATGTTGCTCAATCCACTCTTCTTTTCTAGTGGCCATGAGGAGGAGTTTCTATTTTAGACTAACTAAAAGTTAGAGTGTCATCCGAATCCTAAACTATTGCTGGTCTTAACTATTCGAACAAGCAAACTTCATTAAACCCTAGTTTGAAGTTGGCTTGTTTCCACCAACCATAGATAAGATTAACCGTAGTTTCCCAGGTTTAGTCACTCTAATGGCCATCATGGAGGAGCAGGGAAGGAGAGGTGCACAAGCTACTCTGTGGGTTGTTCTCATAACTGCATTACCTTTAAATAAGCCAGTGAATTGGACAAGAGGGCAAAACAATGACCACTATTTTACAACATTTCCATAATCAATCATTTCAAGAATAATTAAAACAAAGAGTTGAATTGTCAATGAAAAAATGACAGGAATAAAGCTAGCCTACATCTTAGAATGAGGGTGTGATATAGAGGACTAACACAGACTCTGATTCACAGACAGACTCCTTCGCTCACTGACCTCAGACAGACCAACAAGACTGACTAATGAGCTGGCATGCCTTAATCACATATATAATTGGCACTGGGCCATTGCTGTAGCAACTGGCGTGGCTGAACAGGCACTTGTATTAGCTCATCCATGGGCTTTTTAATGCTTATGAAAGAAATCAACCCCTTCCCTAATTTTAGTTACTCCAGCAGGTTTAGTTTAGCATGTTGGAGGTCTCTCCTCATCAACCATGAGCTATGATGAAGAACAGACCTTGGCTACAGTCTGTGGTCAGTGAAGAGAGAACTGAACCATGGCTTGGGGTTCAATAGGGCTATAAGAAGGCACTGGTTTCCATTCTAACCCATGCATGCAACACTATTTCCATTCTGCTGCGGTTTGTCTTCTGACAAAAACAAAGTTAGTAGTGATGTGCCAGAATTTATGCAGCTAATTACACTATTATTATTATTATTATTATTATTATTATTATTATTATTATTATCATCACACCATTTATTATTATCATCATCATCAACAACACCATTCATATCAAAACCATTTATTATTATTATTATTATTATTATTATTATTATTATTATTATTATTATCATCATCAACACCATTCATTTAAATGCAAATGCAATTTGTTTCAATCCAAAGGAAAGACAGTGGAAATAGGGGTGAGTGGGTGTCACTGTTAACATAAAATTTGTGGGAAGAAAAAAGCAGCAGCAAATGCTGGATTAATTTCTGTTCTAGACATGAGACAAATAAGCAAACTCTGGCAATTTCTGCTCCCATGCCTGTTTTCATAGAAATTGTCTGACATCCCCATGGTTCTCCAACCTAGTTTCTGCTAGGTTCTAAAGGATCTCTGAATGGTATGGATCAAGAGACATAACTTATGCCGCTCCTCAAAAGTCTCTCTCTCCCTCTCTCTGGTTATTTGCTTGGGCCAGGACCTCTGTACTCCACTGATACCACACAGCCAAGTGACAGAAATGTAAAAGACATCTAAATTTGCTTTGCACTTAACAGAAGGCAGTTGCCTGTTGCAAGTTTAATCCTTGCAACTGGTCTGATTTACACACCTAAAACACCACCAGAGGGAGCTACCATCTAATACAAAAACTGTTTTAAACACTGCCATGTACCGGTAAATTGCGCTTAGCATTCAGCTGGGTGTGGGAAGATAGCAAATATAGCATTTTATATAGAATAAATGCAGATTAATATAGTGGGGACTGGTCCACTAGAGGGAATGGGACACTGACCCACCAGCCCAATCTAGTGTCCAGATCAAGATCAGTCATATTCTGCCTTGGTCAGACCACACCGGGAATACTGTGTCCAATTCTGGGCACCACAATTTAAGAAGGATGTTGACAAGTTGGAACATGTGCAGAGGAGGACAACCAAGATGATCCAGGGTCTGGAAACCAAGCCTTGTGAGGAATGACTGAGGGAGCTGGGTATGTTTAGCCTGGAAAAGAGGAGACTGAGAGGAGATATGAGAGCCATCTTCAAATATCTTAAGGGCCGTCACATGGAGGAGGGAGCAAGCTTGTTTTCTCCTGCCCTGGTAGGTAGGACTTGAATCAATGGCTTCAAGTGACAGGAAAACAGATTCTGACTAAACATCAGGAAAACTTTCTGACAGTAAGAGCTGTTTGGCAGTGGAACCGACTCCCATGGGAGGTGGTCGACTCTCCTTCCTTGGAGGTTTTTAAGCAGAGGTTGGATGGCCATCTGTCATGGATGCTTTAGCTGAGATTCCTGCATTGCAGGGGGTTGGACTAGATGACCCCTGGATCCCTTCCAGCTCTAAGATTCTATGATTATAGGCCAAAGCAAAGAATTCCATCTGCTCATCCAACATATATTTAAACCACTTGAGTTCCCTCAAAGAATCCTAAGAACTGTAGTTTCTCTATTACAGAACCACAACTTTCAGCACCTTCAACAAACTAAGGTTCCCAGGAAGTTTTGAGGGAAACCATGTTCTTCAGCATGTGCTGGATGTGCTTTAAATGTATGGAGCTGCCAAAGTTCAACTGAACGCATTCTTTTACCTTCCCAACTGCATGAAACATAAATAGCAAATACACCCAGAAACCAGGCTGTCTGTTGTTCTTTGTGGGCTGAACAATGACTCCGCTTTTGAAGCATGACATTTCATTGTGCATAAATTCCTTCTCTTTCTGGGAAATCTACTCAGGTGTGGATCAACTGTGTGTGCATCATCAGGTATGAAGCAAGCACAGGTGATGAAACAGGTGTGGTGTCATGAATAGACGGAGAGTAGGGCAGTATAAGTTGTGATTATTCCTTTCTTTCCTATTCTGCACGATTGTTTACTTCCATGAATATTTATGAAGAATAGACAAATACACCTGTAAATCTAGTGTTCATCTTCACACTTTCATAATAAATCTGACTTTGCACACATTTAAAAAAGGAAGCAAGACCATTGTAGAAAGTTAGCTACACCTATGCCAAATTCAACAAGCTAAAACCCATTTTTCAACAGGCTAAGGGATGTCCATCTCTGCATATAATGTAGTTTGAAATCTCCTTAATCTTAGGGTGGCCATCTTGCATCATAAAAAATAAAATTAAAATTAAAAATGAGAGAAGGAAAGGGAAAGAAAACTCAAACCTAGATTTGCATAAAAATTACAAATTCTAGTTTATATGTAAAGATGTGCACTATATTACTATCATTTACCTAGCAATACAAAACATCTCACCAAAGTGGGGGCCTGTATGACTGTCCTCTGTAAAGCAGGATAGAAGCTACTCTTGCAATCATAAACATGTCTACTCAGAAGTAAGTCCTATTGAGGTAATTGTGTGTAGGATTTCTACCTGAACAAATAAATTATCTCTACCTCCCCCTGCACTACCCACTTTGATGCATCATGTGTTAGTGCAACAAAAGTAGAACGTGGTTTGCTGAGCCTTGCTTGTTCTCACAGTAAATGGAAGAATTGGACCCCTGGAGTTTATTTGCAACTTTAGAAAAATCACCTGATTTTCTTTTCCTACATGCTCCAGCTCTTTGATTGCCTTCGTGTACCCAATTTTCATCTGATGCATGTCTTTAGCAATCTAAAAAGAAGAAAAAAAGCAACAGCAGATTGGAACATTTTATTCATCCTTCCCAATAACCAGCACTTACTGCAAACTAATAAACAAAGTACAGTAGACAGATGCAAAAGAAGGCAGACTCTTGCACCTTTAACAGTTGTGTACTCAAGGAAATTTCAGCAGGAATAGTAGTTTGCATGACAAGATGTACATAGGAACCCCCCCCCCCAAAAAAAAATAACAAGTATTAAAGGTGGACGAACCCTGCCCTCTTTTTCATCTGTCAGTGCGAAGAATGAGTGTGTTGTGGACAAACATCCATTTAAATTTTGACAGTAGTATAAGAGTAGTATAATGAATGAATAAAGCTAAAGCACTAAAACCAATCTGTAACATCAGAATAATGAGTCTGTTTTACCATGCCATATAATTTAGGGTATTTTATAATACTGTCCTTTTCTGGGTCAGTGTCTGATTTTTAAGATTTTGAAATATGCATTTCATTCTTTGATGTTAAAAAACAGTAATGGTTTTAACAAGTAGCTGTTGTAAGCAAAAGCTGATCATGTGTCTGTTTATTCAGAAATCAGATCCCACCAAATTAACTGAGAATGATTATTATATATATGTGCAGGAATGCAGCCTTAATACAACCTGTCCAGACCTTTGACAGGTAATTGCAGTCACTTTGGCATGCTGTGCCATCCCTTTAATCCATAGGATGGTGAGGCTCTGGATGGGCTTTGTTGTTTGTTTCTGAAACTGGCAGGAAGATGTGAAGTGAGGCCTGATAAAGAGTGTGGGTGAACTGAACAAGACTTTTATTAGAGTTTGGGAGGTCACTGCCCCTCTGGCAGAATGCGATGCCTGCTGCCAAATTCTGGTTTAAGCAGACACCGGTGTGCTGTGGGAAGATATTTACATGATGTCAGGCTTCGGGGAATCTGATCCCTCCCACGGTAGAAGTCAAGAAGCAGAGAAACAATTAAAAGTTCTTACCACGTAATTCATTAATATTCACAGAGAGAGTTGAAGGAATGCAGTCCTCTTTAAATAATGGCATTGCTCCAAGTAAAGTCCCACCCCTTATGTCTCTCCTCTTCTACGTCACCCCTGCGTCAGCTGATCTGGGCTTTCTGCCTCTGAGCTCCCTGTTCTACTACCCTCAATGCACGCCTGGTCCTGGGAGAGGGGGGTGGGGTCAGGAATGCTTTCCAAAGACACTGAGTTGGTCAGCTGTTTCTCCCCTGGTGTTTCTTCTTCTTGCTGTTCCTCTTCCAATATTTCCCAGTTTCTCCCCTCTGCAGCCTCTGAATTATGCCCTTCTGCAAGTCACTGTTCTAAATCTATACTGTCCTCCTGTTCTTGGGAAGGTTCAGGAGAAAAAAAGGCGGGGGGGGGGTCCCCACCATTCTTTCTCAGTCCAGTCCCTGGCACATGATAGCAGACTACAGACACATGCACATACACAGAGAGAAGGTACTCTGATCTCAATGGAAGGAAAAACTGCAATATTTACACCTCCATCCTAAATAGATTAATGGCAATAAAGATTCCACCGATTTAAATGAGAACTTACTTCCAAGTTAAGTGTTTATACGTTGCAGCCTCAGCAAGGCAGTGGCAATTACCTACAACTTGCAACCAGCATCCCTGTAAACACTAAGCCCACCTCAAGCATTTCCCACAAGTAGACCAAAGCAGGTGCCCAGGCAGCCAGATATTTGATTTTGATTCTCACAAGCCTGTTACCGTATCAGTTCAACAGAAGCAGACACAAAATGAAATTTATTTGCGCAGCCCTACAATGGAGAATTGTTTGCTTTCTCTTGAGTCTTAGCTTCAAGACCTGGGGAGCAATCCCAACCCCTGGCCAGGATCAGCATGGCTGACCAAGGTGGTGGAGCCATTTCACACCCAAAGCCCTGCTGCTCTCACTGGCCAGGGCAGAATGTGTAGGAGACCATTTTGTCCCCCTTTTTTGGCAGCACTAGCTCTAAATTGGGCCCAGCACCAGTAGCTGGATCAACTGGGAAGAGAGGGGGGCTGGATTGCTCTCCTTCCCCCCGTTTAGGCATAGTTTTATATATACCTTTCATTGGATGAAGTATAGCAACTGAGGTTACTATACTCTACTGAGCTTTCAGTTATTATAATATAAAAACTATGAGAAGTTTGCATTATGGTATTATGAACTTTGCTGAGAAAAAAAAAGAAAGCTTATTCATACAGATAACTTCAATCCATCCTCAATTCTTATGCAAAATAGAATGCATGATGCTATATGGTGGGTGCCCAGTCTGCTCCTTCTCTGCCTTGTTTAGCTTGGAACAATGTTATGACAGAAGATGTCTCCACACAAAGCCACCCTTCTCATCCGACCTCAGATGCCCTGATCCCAGGACAAATGTATTAGTTTGTATAAACACTGTCTATTGGATGCAAGCCAGGCTTCCACCAGAGTAAACATTAAAAAGGAAACAAAATATGCCTTGCCAAAGGATCAGGACCTGAACATATTATCATGTTTGAACAATTTCAGCAGTTAAAATTATTACTATTATTATTTTTACTGTATTATTATTCCTGAGGAAATTGAAATAAACTTATATTTTCTACGTTTTCTAGGGACATCACTTACAAAGCACAAAAACTGGTAAACATCTGTCATGGCTAACAGTGCAACAGACAATTTTTCATGTTGGCCTTCCCTTAAATGGAGAAAATGATTTAACAATAAATTAATTACCTGCCCTAAGAGAAGTACCCTCCAGTAGGAAAAGTAGAAGAAAGACTCTTTTCTCTACATTAGTGTGTTTATAAAAAGAAGTAATGCATTAGCAGTTAATTATCTACTGAAGTCAATTCATATCAGAAATTACTTTGTTTGTTTGTTTGTTTACCTTGGTAATATATAATTTTGCTAGTCTGTATGGAATGTAAAGCTGTTCTTCGTTGGACAGGCATCCATCCAGTTGATTGTCATGAAAGAGCACTCTAGGAGCACTGGGGTGACCTGTGATATGTATATATAAATATAATTCTTGACTATGTAAGACATGAAGCAAAATGAACCAGAAATGCTCATAGCTGAAAACTTCCTCTACCATTATCCAATCCCACTCAATATTAACCACTAAACATAAAGAATGCATTATTATGCACTCACCAGCAGAGAGAGGACAAAAGCACTTTAAGTAAGGTGAAGTCAGTCAGACCATGCAAAATGTGTTAGAAATCCTGACATAGCACAGGAATTACTCAAATTTGGCTAATTCGGGGATGGGGAACCTAGAGGTGCAGCATATGTTGCTTGCTTACAACTCCACAGTCTCTGATCATTAGCCATGCTGGATGGGCTGATGGTTGCTGGATTCCACAACATCTGGAAGGCCACATGGTGACTTATGAAGGCCACAGGTTCACCAGTCCTGACCTAATGTGTGTAAAGGTAATGTTGGTGGTGAATTCTGACTTAGTGAAGCTTGATACACAAACTCCCCCACTTATGAGACAAGCATAGATACTCCAAGATTTGCCCCTGGGCTTGGTTTGGACCATACTGTATTTATTATTATTTCATAAAATTTATATACCACTTACCATGCAAACAAAAGACCTCTACTAAGCAGTATAGAAAAGACAATATAAAATGTTCAATTAAAAAATCTTTTAAAATGCTAGTAAAAACAAACATTTAAAGCAAGTTGCCTGCTCTTTTAACAGCTCTTTAAAACAATTGTACTTATTAAAACCATATGTTAAAACTGCACACTAAAGTCACATAGCTGGGTAGGTCTGCTTTCATAGCAGATTATGAAAATAATACAGTGGAGGTACCCATGTAATTAATGGACAGGGGGTTCCAAAGGTTAGTTGTTGTCACACTAGAGGATTTTCAAATGTTTGAATGAACATTATGTGGACTTGTAAATGCGCTAGTTCCACAGAGCTAAGCAGGTGGCATTGCTGCCTGCCAATCAGCCTCTGTTCTTCCTTCAGCGTCTCATTTCCTGCTGCCAACCGCATCCCTTCTTCCCAATTTGCAGCAGGCAAGTCATAGCAGTGGCAGCAAGCTCTTTCCCTGAACTCAGGAGCCCATGGCTTCCTAGGAAATTTAGTTCTCCAGAACTCCTGAATGACTACTGGGGTCACAGACACAAAAATGAGGTGAGTCAAGAGGAGTTTACACTTACCACAAATAGGATATATTTCTAAGGAAACACCCATGTCTCACCGTGGGAATGGTACAATGGAATGTATGTCAGGCAGAATATATGCTTCAGCCTATGTTGTCGAAATACCTTTTTGTGCAGTTTTGTTTCCTTTCCTTTCATTCAGGCATGTTACAAATGAGAGCTTGTTCTTGTTGAAGCTCAGTTTGTTCAACCAAGATTGTCCCTGCCCAATTTCACCTGTAAAAACAAGCCTTGTGTAAGAAGCCGGAAACATTCCTTTTAGGAATTATAACAAATGACAACCCAAAAGACATGAAAATAATCTTTTTATATGCAACAGCTGCCGCAAGGTTACTGATTGCAAAAAGTTGGAAATCAGAAGAAGTACCAACATTGAAAGATTGGCAAAATAATTTTTTTGAAATGATTGAATTAGCAAAAATGACGGCAACAATTAGAATGCAATCTAATCAAAATCTCAAACAGGAATGGAAATGTGTGGAAGAATACATGACCAAAAGATGCTCCATCAAGAATTTATTGATGTGTATAGACTGATTTCACAAAGTTAAGTTAAGCTAAGCTAAGCTAAGCAGATATATAAGATTAAATGTTTAATTATTAAGATACAAAATTACAATCTCAATAATAAAGTTACAAAATAATAACAAGGAAGTCACACACGGGTGGAGGGAAGACACAGGCAAGAAATAAGAAATGGATAAATGTTGGTACATAATGAAATGTGAAAATGTGAATTTATGAATATAATGTAATTTATCAATATGTAAAGATTTCATCTATGTATTGCAACATTAATAATAAATAAATTAAGTGCAAAACCCCCCCAAGCCTTGTGTGATTCTGTAGTGAATTGTCACATTATTATTGAATGGAAAGATCCCTTTGGTTTTCAAATCTCCGTTCTTTGGGTTACAGTGTGTTTTGTCTTTGGCTTAAACAGAAAAGGGGGGAAATGCACTCAGACATTTTTGTTTGCAGTTACATTTGAGAATAAGCGTTCCTCTGAAGTTTGAAATGCTTATGATGCATAAACTCTAGTGCTGATGAAGCCAGCAAGGTCACCTGCAGAAGCTGCTGGACCCCAGCCCCACACAGCCAGGCCCACGGTCAGGGATACTGAGAGTTGCACTCCAACATCTGGAGCTCCCCACACTGGCTTCTCCTGCTCGAGGACTTACAACTTTGGAAAGAGTTTAAGGCTGATATACTTGCCAGTGACATTGAGTAGCCATGATAGTTGGGGTCCAGACTGATTGACCCATTGCAACTAAACATGTTCTCAAAACAAGAGAGACCATTACTGTCAATATGAAGTGCTTCCCACTTGGGCTGCTGTTGACGACAGTCAAAGTCCTGTGCACTGGTGGAGGAAGAGGAGTGGGGGGGAGTGCACTGCCCCAGGCAGCACAATCCCGGTGGTGTGCCATCACAGCTGCCCCCCCCACGCTGGGTGCCATGCCCCCGCAGGCGCCACACCCCACCCCTGTGGGCAGCATGCCATGCCCCCAGGACATTAAGCTCTGTCACTGGTCCTGCAACACCATCTCAAAACCACATTAAGGACAGAAGAAAAGCTCAGCTGAATTGCAGCATCCTGTTTTCACAGCAGCCGAATAATAGACACCTCTAGGAAGGCAGCACCTGAGTGCAAGGTCATTCATCCCACTTGTGATTCTTAGCAACTTTCTTTTGTCTGCCCTGAAGCTCCCAACATTCAGTTTCATTAGATGACCCAGAGTTCTATTATCATGAGAGTGGAAGCAAAGCAGCTCCCTCTCCACTTTCTCTACATCCATTGAAGAATGTGGATTCAATGCTGCCTCTGTCTGGTAGCAACGTAAATATACAGTGGAACCTCAGGTTATGGCAGGGATCTGTTCTGTAGGGCCCGCCATAACCCGAAAACGACACAACCCAAAGCGTTGCGTCTGCACACACGTGCAGCATGATTTAGCGCTTCTGCGCATGAACAGACATGATTTAGCGCTTCTGCACGTGCACAAACGGCGCGAACCCAGAAGTAACCTGTTCCGGTACTTCCAGGTTTGTGCCAGTCACAAGCTGAGGATGACGTAAGCTGGAGGCAACGTAACTCAAGGCTCCACTGTACCTGTCCTTTCCTTCTTTGAAACCAGAGAATATTGCTGTTCTGTAGACCTCAGTTGTGTATTTTCCAATACAGAAAAACTTTCCTTCCAAGTGCTGTGTTAAGATAATGCAACAGTACTCACAGCAAGAAATTTGATCATAGATCATTCCAAGCAAAATGACCTGAACTGCTCCTTTTAGGAGTTGTGTTGTGTTGACTGAAATTTAGCTATGCATAGGGCTTTTTTCAGCTGGAACTTTCCGGAACTCAGTTCTGGTACCTCTCAGTTGGATGCCATTGCTATTATAAGAGAACAAGGGAGATGTTCATGGTGAATCTGGCTATGTACCAGATTTTACAGTTCTCCAGATGTTGCAACACATCTCTCAGAAGTTTAATTTCTTTAAAAAGAAATTAGTAGATTAATGCAGAAATGGAATGGAACAGAATTATGGATTCAAACACAGAAATAGACAGATATGCTAACTCAGTTTTGTAATCTAAGATGAAAGCTTTAGCTGTAACCTCTTCCTTGTACATGAGAACAATTTATAGCCTCACATTCTGCTGAGTAATAATGCCATCTGCCAGTTAAGGGTAGAGGAAGCTTGTTGGTATTCATTTTTCCTTGGTTTTTCATTCTCTCTTGGTTTTTCATTTCTTCCACTCTTAACTTCAGTTTGCCACATCACACACACACACACCCCTCATGAAAATTCATTACCACTTTAGTGCAAATTTATCCTAATATGCAATTTTGCTCAATGTACACGTTTTTGCAAGCAATTTTCCCTAGTAAAACACATATTATAGGTTATCTTCACTAGTATACACATTTTTTCCAAGCAATTTCCCCTAACATAATATATCTTATGTTATTTTCGCTAATATATTCATTTTTTTGCACATTCACCTATTACACACATTTTTGTACTCATTATTTGCTTGGAGAACTGCATGACACAATTGAGAGAAGTGTGCAACAAGGGTTGAACATATTCTTCAGAGGAGGCTGGGAGGAGGCTAAGTGGAAAAACAAGTACAGTGGTACCTCGGGTTACAAATGCTTCGGGTTACGTGTTTTCAGGCTGCGGACTGCGGGAAACGTGGAAGTACCGGAAAGGGTTACTTCCGGGTTTCGTCACTCACGCATGCGCAGAAGCACCAAATCACGTCACGCGTGTGCACAGACGCAGCACTGGAGGTTACAAATGCTGCAGGTTGCGGACGTGCCTCTGTCACGGATTACGCCCACAACCCGAGGTTCCACTGTAAAGGCCATGGCAAGAGGTACAGTCACTGCATAATTAATTGTGTCTTACTGTATTAACATTCATATCAGGTTCTCCACATTGCAACCTGGCCACCTTATCTATCTATATGAATGTATCTCCAAGTTCTTTCATTGCACACAAATGTATGAAATGATGGCATCAATGTACTGTATCTTATTCATTATGTAATAATGGGTAACAGCCTAATACTTCACTCTTCCCTGCTGATACTTCATTGGGTTCTGCAGAATGACTTTAATTATGGTCATAGAAGGTTCTCTGTGAGAATCTAAAATAATTGCCATGACTGGGAAATCTCCACTGAAATGAAACATGCAGATCTGCATGAATAATGATGAAAAATATGGCTGGATCCAAAGGAGCTTCAGCCAATGGAAGAACACTCTGGATCCAACCCATCCAATCCATGGACTTCAAACATTTCTTGCTCATTTGTGTCAGATGTTAAGGTGCTTAATGTGTACAATACGGTGTACAATAATGTGTACAATACGGAAACAAATGGAGCGATTTTGTTGGTGTCAGGGACAGAATGCTTACCACATCCAGCTTCCTCAACAATGGCAGCACTTTTTGCAGCACATGGAGGATGCATTTGCAGCTCATCCATGTAGTCCATAATACTGCCCGGCAAAGGGATAGATGAGCTGATGGTTGTTTGTGATTTGGGCTCAGCATCACTTCTCGATGACTCCTCTGTCACTTGAGAGCTTGATGGGATCACTGTTTGCACCCAGGCCTCTGGAACAGCATGACATGAGTCATTCATACAGAAACAGGAGCAGGGTTATAAGACGAAGGCTACAACATAAAGAGAATTACAGTTTGCTAGCATATATAAACAAGCATGTTTCAGACCGTGGCCATAATAAGATGCAAAGATGGACCTGCCGAAGCTCCCACTTCTACTAATGAAGCCCTAAGCAAGTCAGATTAGCCTCAACCAGAGCCAGGGCCTTTTCAACTCTGGCTCCGGGCTGGTGGAACGCTCTGCCTCATGAGACCAGGGCCTTGCGGGATCTGATTTATTTCCGCAGGGCCTGTAAGACAGAGTTGTTCCGCCTGGCCTTTGGCTTGGAGCCAATTTGATTCCCTCCCCCTCTTTCTTTTTTCTTTTCCTTCTCCTCCTGCGATGAGGCTACATTTTAATATTTTAATGTTTCAATATTTTAATGTTGTATTTTAATTTTGTTTTTAAGTTGTATTCATTCAACTTATTTTTATTATTGCTTGTTAGCCGCCCTGAGCCCAGCCTTGGCTGGGGAGGGCAGGGTATAAATTTAAAAAAATATTATTATTATTATAAAGTTCAAAGATTGGCTCCACTGGCTTAAGGCAGGGCTGTGACACCCCACAGCCCCAGGGCCATGCCTGTAGCTGGATCCATGCCTGTTGCTGGGTTTTAAAGTTGCAGGCTTTTCAGTTTTCATTGTGGTGAACACAAAGAGAGCCCGCTGGATCAGGCCAATGGCCCATCTTGGCTGACCAGATGCCCGTGGGAAGCCTGCAAGCAAAGCTCTGCCCACTGCAATGCCCAGCCTTTGATGGGGGCACTGGCAGCCTCATCCTCCATGAATTTGTCTGATCATCTTTGAAAGCCACGAGGTTGAAATTATTTGATTCACAGAGCTTGAAACAGAAAATATCTAGCACAAATATATATATTTTTTTTGTATTGAAGCTCCCTCCCTCACATTATCTTTCAGTTTATAAACTGACATGTTCTTGCCTGGAACTTCCTCACCTCTTGTTCCACCACCTTTCAGACCCCCAGAAGTTTCCTTTTCCTCAAATCCCTTGCTTCTGCCTGAAACATCTCCCTTGTTGCCTCCCTTTATTCCCTACCCACATCAGAAACAAAATCTATATAAGTGCATCACACAAAATCAGGCTCTGCAAGCCTTCCCTCTTTTCCCCCTCCCTTCCTGTGTTGAAATTTGTCTTTCCAATTGCTCAAGGCTGGAACCTGTATTTTGTTATGTCAGGTAAATGTAAAGGGACCCCTGACAGTTAGGTCCAGTAGCGGACGACTCTGGGGTTGTGGCACTCATCTTGCTTTACTGGCTGAGGGAGCCGGCGTACAGCTTCTGAGTCATGTGGCCAGCATGTGGCTAAGCCACTTCTGGCGAACCAGAGCAGCGCACGGAAACACCGTTTACCTTCCCACTTATTTATCTACTTGCACTTTGACAGGCTTTCGAACTGCTAGGTTGGCAGGAGCAGGGACCGAGCAACAGGAGCTCACCCCGTCCCAGGGAATTGAACCGCCGACCTTCTGATCAGACACAGGTGGCGCTGTGGTCTAAACCACTGAGCCTCTTGCCCATTGAAGGGTAGGCGGTTGGAGTAATCTCCCGTTGCTCTGTCCCAGCTCCTGCCAACCTAGCAGTTCGAAAGCATACCAGTGTGAGCAGATAAATAGGTATCTGTGGTGAGAAGGTAAACGGGGTTTCTGTGCACTCTGGCTTCCATCAAGGTGTCCTGTTGTGCCAGAAGCAGTTTAGTCATGCTGGCCACAAGACCCAGAAGCTGTCTGTGGACAAACACTGGCTCCCTCAGCCTGAAAGTGAGATGAGTGTTGCAACCCCATAGTCGCCTTGGACTGGACTTAACTGTCCAGGAGTCCTTTACCTCCTTTACCTTTACATGAAGGTAGTGGCTAAGTGCTTTGTGAGCCAGAGGCAAAAAAAAGTGCCTTTCAGTATGTGCAGAGATCCTTTGTCTTACCTCTGAGCTCAGTTTTGCAGTTTGCTATCATATTATAATAAAGAGCATGCAAATCCCTTGTGCATTCCTTATCCAGCCTCCTGGATTTGTGCAGAGGGAACACATATATGCTCCTGAAGCAAGTACCATTTGCTCATTCTATAATATACAACAGCTATATGAACTGCAAGTTCCAAACCTGCCACAAAAATTTTATTATTTCAGGATTTGTACCCTACCTCTCCTTCCCCACAAAAAGAATTCTCAAGGCAGCTTCTCCTATTATTATATTATTTAGTATATTACATTTATCATATTATTTTTGCTTAGAGCACAGGTGGGCAACTGATGTGTGCACTCAACCTCATGTATGTGGCCCCAATCCATCCTAATGTTCCCCCATTCTTCCATCCCCTCACAGTTTCTTTCTTCCTGTTCATTTTCTCCTCATTTTTTCCTGGCTTTTTTGCGTTGTTTCCCCTTTGTAACTTCAGAACAATTGGAAGGGGAGCTATTTTATCAGATAAAGATATATTTATGTTTAAGAATTGTATGGCTATACAACACTAACAAAAGGCTCTGTTGTTCTAATCAGATGATCAAGTCATGAGGCCAGCCATGTCTCTTGCAGTTCATGTCACGGCAGGATTCTTAACTATATGACTTGGTAACATTATGATTATCTTGCTTCTTGAAGGAAATATTCAGGGTTTTACCCCTCTGCACAGATTTTCATATGTGGAATGCATCCATAAACCCAAATTAGTTCATAATCCAAATCATACTTCCCCTATTTTGGCTCGAATCCCTTTGGGAGAAACCCACTTGGGTTATCTAATAGAAAAACAGGCATTCCACACACAAAGCATCTATTATAATCAGAGTTCATATGCCCCAAAGATTTTTAGATGACAGTAGAAAAATACATCCAGTAGTGATGTATGGAAGTGAGAGCTGGACCATAAAGAAGGCTGATCGCTGAAGAATTGATGCTTTTGAATTATGGTGCTGGAGGAGACTCTGGAGAGTCCCATGGACTGCAAGAAGATCAAACACATCCATTCTTTTCTTTTTTTCCCCAAGTGAATTTTTTTGTTTTCCTTACATATTCTTTTCCAACAAATTGTAATAGCACCATACATTCCCTTTGACTCTGCCGGTATATTTATCCTCTTTCCATCACACACATCATTCTCAAATTAGTACTATTATACATTGGAGGTATTATGTCAATCCTGCTAGTGTATCTTCTCTGATTAGGTCAGGACTGGTGAACCTGTGGCCTTCATAAGTCACCATGTGGCCTTCCAGATGTTGTGGAATCCAGCAACCATCAGCCCATCCAGCATGGCTAATGATCAGAGACCGTGGGAGTTGTAAGCAAGCAACATCTGCTGCACCTCTAGGTTCCCCATCCCCGAATTAGCCAAATTTGAGTAATTCCTGTGCTATGTCAGGATTTCTAACACATTTTGCATGGTCTGACTGACTTCACCTTACTTAAAGTGCTTTTGTCCTCTCTCTGCTGGTGAGTGCATAATAATGCATTCTTTATGTTTAGTGGTTAATATTGAGTGGGATTGGATAATGGTAGAGGAAGTTTTCAGCTATGAGCATTTCTGGTTCATTTTGCTTCATGTCTTACATAGTCAAGAATTATATTTATATATACATATCACAGGTCACCCCAGTGCTCCTAGAGTGCTCTTTCATGACAATCAACTGGATGGATGTCTGTCCAAAGAAGAACAGCTTTACATTCCATACAGACTAGCAAAATTATATATTACCAAGGTAAACAAACAAACAAACAAAGTAATTTCTGATATGAATTGACTTCAGTAGATAATTAACTGCTAATGCATTACTTCTTTTTATAAACACTAATGTAGAGAAAAGAGTCTTTCTTCTACTTTTCCTACTGGAGGGTACTTCTCTTAGGGCAGGTAATTAATTTATTGTTAAATCATTTTCTCCATTTAAGGGAAGGCCAACATGAAAAATTGTCTGTTGCACTGTTAGCCATGACTGATGTTTACCAGTTTTTGTGCTTTGTAAGTGATGTCCCTAGAAAACGTAGAAAATATAAGTTTATTTCAATTTCCTCAGGAATAATAATACAGTAAAAATAATAATAGTAATAATTTTAACTGCTGAAATTGTTCAAACATGATAATATGTTCAGGTCCTGATCCTTTGGCAAAGCATATTTTGTTTCCTTTTTAAATCTTTACTCTGGTGGAAGCCTGGCTTGCATCCAATAGACAGTGTTTATACAAACTAATACATTTGTCCTGGGATCAGGGCATCTGAGGTCGGATGAGAAGGGTGGCTTTGTGTGCTCATCCCCTAAGAGACATCTTCTGTCATAACATTGTTCCAAGCTAAACACGGCAGAGAAGGAGCAGACTGGGCACCCACCATATAGCATCATGCATTCTATTTTGCATAAGAATTGAGGATGGATTGAAGTTATCTGTATGAATAAGCTTTCTTTTTTTTTCTCAGCAAAGTTCATAATACCATAATGCAAACTTCTCATAGTTTTTATATTATAATAACTGAAAGCTCAGTAGAGTATAGTAACCTCAGTTGCTATACTTCATCCAATGAAAGGTATATATAAAACTATGCCTCAACGGGGGGAAGGAGAGCAATCCAGCCCCCTCTCTTCCCAGTTGATCCAGCTACTGGTGCTGGGCCCAATTTAGAGCTAGTGCAGCCAAAAAAGAGGGACAAAATGGTCTCCTACACATTCTGCCCTGGCCAGTGTGAGCAGCAGTGCTTTGGGTGTGAAATGGCTCCACCACCTTGGTCAGCCATGCTGATCCTGGCCAGGGGTTGGGATTGCTCCCCCAACCCCTTGAAGCTAAGACTCAAGAGAAAGCAAACAATTCTCCATTGTAGGGCTGCGCAAATAAATTTCATTTTGTGTCTGCTTCTGTTGAACTGGTATGGTAACAGGCTTGTGGGAATCAAAATCAAATATCTGCCTGCCTGTGCACCTGCTTTGGTCTGCTTGTGGGAAATGCTTGAGGTGTGCTTAGTGTTTGCATCTA